CCCCCCCCCCGCCCGGGCGGGCCCCGGCCTCGTGGGCGCCGTCGGCGGGCCTTCTAAAATATTTGATCTGGACTCTAGGGAAAATCTCGTCGTCGGCGCCGTTGGGCTCACCGTCGGCGCCCCAGTTTCAATCTTCATATTTTGGTCTTTTTCGCTCCAAATTCGCTCCTTTTTGCATCTTGTTGCTCCAATGACTATAATTCATCATACCTGCAACAAAACATCAAAAATACCCTTCTTTAATGTGTAATATCATCAAAATCAGTGTAAAATAGGTATGAAAATCTCAATATATTTTCCTTTGATCACATCTCTATATGTTGCACGACAAGCTTATGTGCTATAATATCTGGAGGAAGCACATAAGTCAATAAGCCAAGTGGCGGACAAACACTGGAACCAAAAGGCTCTGGTTGGAACATTTTCATTCCTTGAAGAGGCTTATACATATTACGTGGTATGTGACCATTACTTCCCATTGAAAACATTCAACTTAGCTCACTATCTACTGGAACACAACCACTCGTCTACAAGCATGAGCAAGGGAGCAAATGACAGTGAGAAACAAAGCGAGTGTCTTATGGCGGTTATAGGAAGATAGGCAGTTGTTATAAAGGATAAGCCCACTACTGCTATGGTAGGAGCAGCAAAGTGAACCACGGAGGCCCGCAAGGAGAATTCAGAGGAGGGCCCACAGTAGGGAGGATTCCAGCTGCAAGGAGGATCCAATGTCAAAAATTAAAGCGGGGAAAGCTTACAAAAAGAATCTGGCAAATGAGGGTCTGCTGCAGGGAAGATTCCGGTGGCAAAGAGAATAGAGGAAGGGGCCTCCAGGTAGAGTAATGAGAGTCGAGGAGGTCTGCATGTCGGCTGAAGGGGTTCCTTGAAATGTGCATATTACATGAAAAAGAAAACAAAAGTTTAGAAGAGATCTATAAAAGCTAGAGACAAAAGAACTGGCATGGTTGGCATCTTACTCAACCACGCTCAAAAAATTGGTGTCACAAGTGTGAGCCTCCCAAAAGAAGAACCTATCCAAATCGAGCCTAGCACAAAAAAGGGGCCACTTTGTTATTATTCTCTATAAACAAAAAAAAAAAAAATTGTTGAAATTCAAAAAGAAATGCGATGTCCGGTTCAATCTGGAGGTGATATTGCCAACCTTTAGCATGCATAAGATTGCAAAAAGCGCCAATGATAGTCGCACTATCTCCATTGATCATGGTCCCCTTGGTTTCAATCATCCAAGGCTTAAGGAGTTCGCCAAGAAAAATAAACGCCTCCATTTCAACTTGAGAACTGTCCCAGTGGACAAGAGTCATTCCATTTCAGCAGCCAGAAAGACTTTGTCTATCTCATCACGAATTACCACACCAATGCCCGATCCGACAACTGGAGAAATCTAGGGTTTATTCCCACTCTCTGATACTGTGTGGAAAGACGAAGAAAATTATATTCTCTTATTTCATGATTATTAAATTTCAGATCTTCTCCTAATAAAATAAGTAAAGGCTAGGGCAAACTTAACTCCTACAATTACAACTTACAAAATACAATAACTAAAAAAAGAAAGAAATACAACATAAAATGAAAGGAATAAATCAAGAATAAATCTAAAATAGGAAACTCAAAATTCCATACTTGCTTTGTTTAAAGCAAAGCTTAGCACCAAAAAAACTCCCTTAAGCCCCATGCATAATATAAAGAAACAGCTTTCCTATTTCCATCATAAAATAAACAGAAAATCTTTAAACATGAAATAATAGTTGGAACAAAATACTCAAAGGAAGAGGTAAAACCATCAGCTCCGCAGTTTTAGTATACTGTTTTCCTTGTGGTGGAGGCCATGCTAGGTATGTAAATTTCCCTTTTTTCGAGTAGCTGGGTTAAAGGAGTTTCCCGAGAACAAATCTAGCTACGAATGACTAAGGAATAAGAAAGAATTTCTTACTGGAATTTTAATCACATCCTCCCTTTTCCATCCAAGTGAGTTGTACACAAGAATAACCTGCAAGATCAGTGAAGCATCAGTTTCTATAAAAATTACCAGATCAGAAAAAAGAAATTATGAAAAATTAATCATATTACCAGGCTTTTTCCATGGGAGAGCTCTGCTTCAGAAGGAGGGCAGTAACTTAAATTCAGAAGCGGACACTAGACAGTAGAATACAAAAAAAATCAATAATCACAAACCAAGAAACGGAAAAAACAGACATATAATAATTCATTACATAATGCATTTAAACCATAGGTCCAAAATAAACGGAAAAAATAGGAAGCTTATGGAGTAGGCAAAGATTCATCGACGCGAAGAAGCATAACTATAATAAAAAATTTCTCTAGTGATCAATAGTAAAAGCCTATTTTTTTCTATAACATAAGTAGGATAAATACATTATTAAAAGTCATTAGCATAAAACCTCATGCATCATAATATATCTTAACCTGAACGGAAATAACACCCAAACTGTTGATTTATGATAAGTTTAGGGCAGGTGCAGTTGCTTATAAAGGAGGTTGCAAAGCATTTGCGGAAAAAACAGCTTCTAGAAAACTACTATGATTTTTATAAATATTATTTTTCAAAAAAGTCATACAACGATTTTCTTACAACTTTCATACTTAGCAGATCATTTTATAGAAAGTACATTTCCACTAACAAAATTTCTATGAAGCAGCAAGAAAGCAGCATATAAACACAATTGTGGTAACGATCCGAAAAGTAGTGCAAAAAGAAAGCTTCTCCAAACAAACTCTGTGAGATGGCTAAAATGGACGCATTTGATTTACGTGTATGTACAAAAACATATATCTTATTATTATTATTATTATTATATTCTCTTTATATTTATTTATTTACATCCCTTTTTATATTATTTTATATTGTAATTTTTTCTTTGATTTTTAAAACAACGTGGTTGAATTCCCAGCAAATTTTCTTCCAAAGTACATGCAGTTCACTTCCCCATCACAACTTCAGCATGACATGCCAGAATTTTCTGATATCATTTCAGCTTTCTAAATGCATAGTCAGTCCATTTGTGTACTCAGCAATGGATCCAAAAAGTTTCGAATGAAACTGCACCCATCTTTTGTCATTATTGCGGAATGGATTACCTATAATAGCCAATGGTTCTAGAGGGCCCATTCCTAGGTATTGAGGTGATTAAGCCAATTGTTTTATAGAAGATCACTTGAAAGTACAACTTTTATAAACTATGCTGATGGAACTATTATAAGCTGTACTTTCACAATTTGGCAAAAGATACAAAACTTTCCTCGCAATGTAAAACAGTAATTCTATCATATCAAACCTGTTCAAACTTTGTTGCCGGGTTATAGCAATCAGAACCTGACAGTGACTCTGCCAAGCAGCCAAGTGATAACCCAACTACCTTCTCAGACTGAAAAGTAAAAAAAAAAAGAAAAAAATGAAGATTTACATACATACCACTCAATTCATATGTATTTACATACCTAACACCTAAACTTCAATTTTTTACATACAAACCAGTGAAACCACCTTACCTATGCATGAAAAGGTGCATTTCACTTTTTAAAAGTTAAAATTGTGGTATTTTTATGTGATGTGAAATAATTGGGTGGTATAAATGTAAAAAATAAAGTTTAGGTGTTAAATATGTAAATACATATCTAACAATGATGGATCAAAGATGCAAATGCCACAGCATGAGCCAAATTTGTCACCTCAGCATAGCCTATAGATAGTCGTTTTGCATAATCGTTTGCAACGTGCTGTTGCTCAGTTCCACTAACCGCATCATGATGTTGAGCAATGGCTAAAGCATCAGCCAAACTGTCAGTGCTTGGCCCTGAGCTGTTCCTTCCTTTAAGAAATTCCAACTGCCTTGCAGCCTTTAAGGTGGTTGAAAACATTAGATGTCATCTTTTTGGATAACATGTTCAAAATGGGAAATTTACATCGATACAACACAATTTATTTGTATTTACATATCTAACATCCAAAATTTGAAATTTACATTTATAACAATATGGTGGCATGAAACTATGCATGAAAAGGTGTACTTCACTTTCAAAAAGTTAATAGTGGTGGTATTTTTTATGTGATATTAAAGATTAGAGTGGCGTGTATATAAATATGAAAGTTTGGATGTTAGATATGTCAATAAATAAGAATTGAGTGGTATGAATGTAAATGCCCCATTCAAACTATGAAAGAGAACTGAAGCCCTACTAGATAGTAGGCACTCATCCTTCTAACGTATGTTTTGATGCTAGGCCTACTGCTGAAGTATCCTGTCCAATATCTATTTGGTCCATCTGCATATCTACAATTTATACTAGTTAAAACCGCATTATAGATTTCAAATAAACAGGCACGATCAAGAAATTTTAGGGGCCGTTTGGGATTACTCTTTTATTTTATTTTATTATGTTTAAGTTTTACATTGAAATAAAAAATATTTGTTAGTGGTGTTTGCTTTTCTAAACACTCAAGCCATATAAATGTTATTTTGAGTGCTTTTAAAAACACTTAAAATATGCACCAAACAAACATGTTCTTAAAAATAAAAACAAAAATATAAATTAAAAAAAAATAAAAAATGTTCCCAAATAAGCCCTTAACTTTCAAGTAGTTTCGACTTACGGGAAAAAGTCATCTGTCTTGAGAGGCCAAAATTCATTTGCTTCGTATTTAGCATCAGTGTATATGGAAGGTGTCGAATACAAGGCATTAACTCGCCCATCCTGAAGCGTGATAAAAAAATATTAATGGAAAAATTTACTTGCTCCCCTGTAAAATATTAAATAATGCACAAAAATAAATAAATTTTAGTATAAATGCTATAAGAATACAGAATAGATCTTGAAATGCAAAATTTCATGCACAACTGTTTATAAAGAATCAAGCATTGCTTCTTCCAAGATTAGGGCATGCTCAAACAATGCCAATAAATTACAGCACATGAATCATACAACATTTACCAAATACATTTTTGTGTAGCATACATTCTAAAGCACGGTAATTTTACTTTGTAACTGCATAAGATTTTCATTCAAATTGAGATTTAGTTCATTTGTAATTAATATTTTTCACAACATTCTTTTGAATACTTCACTATACATAAAACAAAAAACATCGCAGTTAGCATATCAGCAAATAATTCGATTGAGCGAGATGAAACAAAGGACAACAGATGTAGAGTCGTTGAAGTTCAATTAAATAACATCAACCACAATGAAGGTCACTAAACCATTGCCTGTTTTGTGAAATGGACTGCACCAACAGTTTCGTAACACCAACAATGCCTCAACCACCGTTCAAAAAAAAAAACAGCAAATTTACCCTTGCACGAGACATGAAAAAGATTTTGGCATATGTAAGCAACAAGAAGACGTACAAGACAATTCAAACAATAATTTAAGGACATAATTGAATATCCATAAACAAGCATTCCACCTGTTAGCACCATGAGTCATTTCATATGGTCCATTCGATTTTGATGATAACAAACATTCTGTCAGGTAATACTAATGCTATATTTTAAGTGTTTCAGGCAAGTGCAAAAGGTAGTTCAATCAATAAATTTTGATAAAGTCGAAAGCAACTCAGAATTGAAATTGGGTCATTGCTACTTATTATGCGCAATAATTTAAATTTAACAGCTCACAAATTAAAATTAAAATTAAATGTTTAAATCATATTTTCACATTTGCAAAACAACTACACAAATTTTACATAGGTAAATTTGCATTATTTTTAAAATTATCATGAAATTATTTTTTCGGATAATTTATCTTTTGCATGATTTTAAGCTTCATACATGCATCCGAAACTTGACTTGAACTCAAATTTTATTTCATTAATGTCCTAGCATATCATTAATCAATTCGAGACATTTAGTTATGGACATTTAGTTCAAATTGTCCCCTAAATTATCCAAATTACATTTAGTTCAAATCATCCCCTAAATTATCCAAATTATCATTTTTCTCCTTCCTAATTATCAAAAATGATTATTTTGTCATAGCCACTTGGAATAGTAGTATTTAAAAAAAAAAACATTCAAACAAAATTAGATGAAATAATTATTTGAAAAAATGGCTTCATTATATTCTCAAAATGATGCCTAAAATTAAAAAAATAATAAAGAGGAATGGTACATCTCTCATATTATTATTTTGCTCTCTCCTATCAAAATAATAATTCTTGTTATTTTAATTATTTAGTCCAAATTTTCTTAGTATTTGCACTTAAAATAAATTAATATATTTACTCAAATTAATGTCATCCATTTTATTAATTTTGGATAATCATTTTCTAGTTAAATTAAATATTTTCCTCCCTTTCTCACTTGCATTAATGAATTGTCTAGTTTCTTTAAAATTGTTCAAATCTCTCCAAATTTATTTTGGTTGATATAATTCGAATTTTCTCAAATATTTATAGCTAAATTAGAATTTCTTAAAGTACATTAAAATTTGAAATCATTCAAATTATTTCATAAAACTTTATACATGATATCATTTTTTTATATTAAGGTTTATTTCAAGAAGGTCGAAGCAGGCAAAATAAATCTCTTGGATATCATTTTTTTATATTAAGGTTTATTTCAAGAAAGTTTTCAAAAATTTCAAATTATTATTTAAATTGAATCATAGTTAAATCTCTTGATTGATGATAAATTTATTAATTTAATCCCTCATGAGCCGAAATTCCCTTCCATGCTTACTTTATTTAAAATCCTCATACTTATTTCTCATTGGCCAAATTAATTAATCTCTGAAATATTGATAAGCAGGCAAAATAAATCTACTAAGTTCATATTAAATCATGGTTAGCCACTACCATTGTTTATTCTTGATTTATTTTATTCCTAAATCTCAAAAACATTCCAAAAATTATTTTCTTCCAGTTCTCTAACGTTTGACCGAAATTCTCATTATAAATATGGGCATATGGTTTGGTTAATCAGGCTTGCCCTAAAAATCATACCAAAACTCTGTTGAATTATTGTCTCAATTACTAAATCCCTCCCCTCATTTGCTTAGCCGAAATTCCATCAGTCTTCTCTTGATCCAAGCATCTACAAGGAACATTTTTTGCTCTCTTTCAATCTTTGGTGAGATATTTTCAAGTTGTGAGTTTGTGTTATAAATATTTTCATCTTGATTTAAACTTCATGAAATGTTTGAATTCATGTTTTTAAAGTGAAAGTTCTTTCACATACAAATTTCATATTACCTTGATTTAATATAAATGTGCTTTTTTTTATTTAAGTTAGTTTATTTCTCAAAGTGATATTTATAAGTTTACATTGATTTCATTACATAAATTACATTTTGGGTTCTTCGTATCATCTAGATTAAATATTTTAAAATTGCAAGTCTTTACTTCATCTTCATATTATTTGACCTAAAATAACACCGTGAGTTATTATTTTTATTGTTGTTTTTTTTATTTGATGAGAGAAATATTTTTTATGTATTCCTATGTTTTTTTTAAACACTATCATTGTCGAGTCTCAAGCACTGGATGTAAATAGTAGAGGGTTGTGTTAGGTAGTCGACAATCAACATAAAATTTGTCGAAAAATCATGACATGAATACTTTAGACCTTATTGGAAAATCAATAGGACCTAATGATATATCTTAATCGAAGTGTAGAAATATTAAGGAGACTTTGCAGTTTCATGGCTTACAAAACTCTTTAATATTATTTTAAAAACTAAAAAATGTTTGAGGAGTGATTTGATGTGCGTAGAAATAGTCTATTGGTTTTTTTTAAGAATAAAAGGGGCATACACAAGTGTATAAATCATTGAGAAATTAAAGTTGATGTGTCATACTTTAAAATTATGGGAGACAATAATTGAACATAGGTTAAGACGTGTTACAAAAATTTCTCATAATTAGTTTGGATTTACGTCGAGCAGGTCTATTATGGAAGATATACATCTATTGAGAGGTTTGATGGAGAAGTACAGAGAGAATAAGGAGGATCTATATAAGATTTTTATTGATAAAAAAAAACTTATGATAAGGTTCCAAGAGAAATATTGGAAAGTTCTAGAGAGCAAAGGTGTTGATATGACTTATATTCAAGTCATTAAAGATATGTCAACTAGAGTCGTTACTTGTGTTCGAACAGAAGGATTGGAAAAGTATTTTCCTATGTCAGTTGGATTCAGGAATCGGCTTTAAACCGATATCTTTTTTAGTTATGGATGCTCTTACTGGACATTTACAAGATGATGTGCCTTGGTGTATTCTTCTTGGTGTATTCTTTTCGATAATAATATCCTTCTTGTGGATAAGACTAAAAAAAGAGTTCAGAGAAATTTCAATTATGGAGGTCTACATTGGATTCTAAAGGCCTTCGTTTGAGTAAAACTAAAACTAAATACATGGAATGTAATTCCAGTAGTAGGAGCTCTAGTAACAGAGTTGTAACTATGGGTGATCAAAAAATTAAAAGGTGTGCACGTTTTAGATATCTTAGGTTTATTCTTTAAAGTAATGGTGATATAGAAGGGGATTTTATTAGAAGAATTCAAGTTGGTTGGTTGAAGTGGAGGAATACATCGGGGCCTATTGTTTATAGAAAAGTACTGAAAGAAAAATTTTATAAAATGGTTGTGAGGCCTGCAATGCTCTATAACGCAGAATGTTAGTCTTTAAAAGATAAGCATAAAACAAAGTTAATCGTAGTTGAGATGAGAATGCTTAGGTGGATGGGTGGCTAGACACTTAGAGACAACATGCGAAATGAGTATATATGTGATAGGGTTGGTGTAGCTCCAATGGCAGACATAATTAGAGAGAGTCATCTTAGATGGTTTGGTCACATTAAACGTTGACCATCTGATGATCCGGTTAGGAGAACAGATGTTTTAGAGTTGACTTATGTTAAGAAAAACAGAGGTAAAACTAAAAGGACTTTGGCATATCGTATAAAAAATTATATTAGTTTATTAGAAATAATGAAAATATGACACTCAAAAGGACGCAATGGAGAGGATTCATGTAGCCAATCCCACTTATTGGGATAATGGCTTGATGTCGTTGTTCATGTTGTAGAGCAGTATTTTTTATATATTCCTATGTGAGAGTAAAATCTTGTAATTTTATTTTTATGTTTGTTTGTTAATTGTAACCTTGTGATGAGGTTGTGCTCACATGTTGTAAGTGTAGTATCCATCCGTTGTGGAAGGATACGGTTATTATAACGTCGGTTATTTAGTTATCCTAGCCCTGAATTTTGGGGCTAGGCATACAGTAGGTCGGTTTGTGGGTTTTTGGCCAAACAATGTAAAAATTGTTTGTGTTTTACTTTCTAGCACTTTCTCTTAATTGTTGTTTATCTTTTTAATGTGTAAGTTACATCATTAACCTTTTCTACAAAATAAAAATAACATAAATTTTAAATTACCTTTTGCTCTAAAACTCTCCGACATATAAAATTGTTTTATCATTTAAGTTTTCTACTAAAATAAAATCCTCAGCGCCCTCACAGCACATAAAGCTGTTACATCCAACAAGTCTGCAAAAAAATTTGGACTGCAAATATATTTGCTTAACCAAAATACATCACAATTCAAAATTAGAGAACTAGACTGAAAGGGCATAAGGTACCCGCATGCAAATAAAGTTTATTGATTAATCCAAAGAAGAAAACCAGCATGAAACCGTAAAAGCGTTAGGTTTTAGCCACCATAGATTAAGCAATGTCAAAAAAAAAAAAAAAAACAAGCCAATTTTAAAAGTACTGCAAAACTAATACTTACCTTGTTAACATAATGAATAAACTGGTCCATTTGTCTGAACCATGAATTTGCATATTGATACTTAAAATCAGTTCCCATGGTGAACATGATATGATTTGTGCGTGTAATATTTGCCTGAAAAATAAATGGTAGATTACTGTTGGACTCAACAGATGCATGTATTAAAAATCAGAATAAAGTGCGCATTCATATATGATATGTAATTAATCATATAAGTATGAATGTATGCCTATCTATCTATCTGTATAAAAGCCGCTTCTGTCTATCTATCTATCTACTTATATATACACTGCTCCTATTATAAAAGCCGCTTCTGTTTCTTCCCTAATGAAATCTTGGCCTTTCATCTTATTTTGCTTTTATGATTTCAAATCTTCACCATTAATTTTCAAAGTTAAATCTTAACCCTATATAGTATCTTTTATATTAAAGATGTTAATTATAATTTAAATGTTTCAGTAATTATATTAATTATAATTATAAATATTCTATTAAACCAGTGGAATAAAATGTTTCAGCTATGCGTGGAATTGTTGATTCATTTTATTCAATAAAGTTAATCTTTTTTAAAAAGTAAGTTATAATTGTTGATTCGTTTTTTTAAGTAAATTTAACGCTTTTTTTATGGCTATTAATTATGTTGCCACGTACATCATTGCTAAGCACGTGGTAAATTTTACTGATGGCATTAAATATTTGGAAATTAGAACACATCGGCTATTAATTTACTGTTTAAAACAGATGGAATAAGTTTTGATTTTTAAAACCAACAGAATTAAATATTTAGTGGTTAAAACAGATAATTTGTTTGAGCTATGCGTGGAATTCGATTTATTTTCAATAATTTTCACTGAGACGTTTCAATGTTTTCAATAAAGTTAACAATTTTTAAGGGTTTTAGCAAAGTTCACCTTTTTTTAAATGTAATAATTTTCAAACGTCACTTCGAATGTAAATATAAAAATATCACCCAGCTAAAATTCTGTTAGGAGACTATAGTCTTATCTGGGGATGCACTTATAAATCCGTTATTCTGGGTCATAAATAGTAGTCGACAATGAGGGGACCAGCAAACTAAGGCAAAAATTATTAAAAATTTTAATTGAATTCATTTCCATAAATGAGGTAGATAGAAATTATTCTTACTAGATACTAAAACAAATCAAAACCTAATATTGAGTTGTTATTTGGTCAGTATATTGAAGGTGAATAAATTTAAAATGCATATAACTGCATATTTTTGTGTGAATTTTATTTTTAATAGGGCTAATTTTTAGTTCTTAACTTCTTTTCTTTTCAGCCACTCTTTCAAAGTGAATCTGTTGTAGATCAATTGAATGAGATGGTTAAAGTATGTGATTGAATTCGTATTTGATTATATATGATTTTTATTGGTTTATTTATGAACTTTTGCACTAATTGATAAATATTACATAATATTTTTACATTAAAGATTTAAATTTGATGCATTGATATTTAGGCTGACTTGAATATTTCTGGACATAATATTTGAACTTCTTTGAAAACACAAATCAACATTTCTTTATTTTTAACTCAATTTTCAACTTACAAATTTCAAAGAAAAAAGTTTTGATTAATATTTAAAACTATCTCAATTAATTAAGCAAAATGACTATATTTTGTTGTTTTAATTCAGTTGATACTATAATATTTTATGAATTTTCAAATGAAGAAAAAAATATAGTTGCTAATATTAATATTAATACATTTTATCATTAAAAATTCTTTATTGTAGATTTATTTTATTTGTTTATTTCCTCTTAAATCATTTGCAGTATTATCATTTTTGTTGTTGTTGTTGTTGTTGTTGTGTAAGGGGCTTATTGTTAGGCATGTTTTAAGAAAAATTTCACTTAAATCTTACAACAACAAAAAAACCCTTTTCCCACTTACTGGGGTCGACTAAATGAATCTTTTTTCTTCATTGTATCCTATTGAGTGTAATATTTTCAGTTAATTCTAATAGATTAAGATCATTTTTAATACAAGAAGCCCACGTCTTTTTAGGTCTACCTACTTACCAAAAGTCAAATCTAAAATATCTACTCTTCTAAGAGGATCATCAGGCACTCGATATTTAACATGACCAAACCATCTAAAACGACTGTCTCAAATCTTCTCTGTCACTGAAGAAAACCAACCCTTTCGAGAATATATTTGTTTTGCATTTTGTCTCTAAGTGTAAAGTGACTCATCCACCTAAGCACTCTCATATCAAGAACACTTAACTTAGTTTTATATGGCCAACATTTTGTGCCATAAAGTATTGGAGGTCTCACCGCCATCTTATAAAATTGTCCATTAAGTCTACGCGGTACTTTTGCATCACAAATAGGCCTGATGCCTTCCACCATTTCAACCATCCAACTTGAATTCTACTATTAACTTCCCCATCCATATCACCATCATTTTGAACAATAAACCCGAGATATCTAAAATGTTCACCCTTTTTAAAGACTTGATCACATCAATTGTTACAACTGCGCCACTAGAGCTACTACTACTAAAATTATATTCCATGTATACAGTTTTAGATCTACTCAAATGAAAGCCTTTAGTCTCTCAAGTTGACCTTCATAATTCAAAAATTTCCTGAACTTTTTCTCTAATCTTATCATTAGAATTCAGAAGGATATCATCAGCAAAAAGCATGCACAAATATACATCTTGCTATAAATGTCTTGTAAGGACATCCATAACTAAAGCAAAATGTTTTGAGTTCTTTAACTTTTTGTTTTTTCAATGAATTTAACAAATGAAATATTTGAGTTTGAAAATTTCTCAGAATTTGCATGCTAACTAGACATGTTTGGAATCACGTTTTAGACAAATTTTAGGCAAAATTTTACCTAAATCAACTAAACATAAATATTTGAAATTGTGTAGTCGCAATAGATTTGGAGTTAGAGATGCAACGGAAAGAAAAATTAAGAAAAGAAGTGAAAAAAAAAAACAAGTGTGGCAAGTATTTATGTTTACAGTTGTCTTGTTATCTTTATAAAACTACCATTTTATCAGCCTGTACTTCTCACCCTTCAATTAAACCAAATGCTCCCATATAAGCTCTGGATCTCAGAAAAATAAGGGGGGTCAAAACAAAATTTAAAATACACAAATTTTAATTCAACAATTACTTTTAATTAATTGATGAAGGACTTGACACATTATTATCTTCATAATTTTATTAAAGTTAAATATGTGTGGATATGTGGTCCTTGAAATATCTATATAAAATTATTTTACGAATGAAATGATGTATCATTAACGAAACAATTAAAATTATTGATCATGATATTTTAAATTCTCAAAAATAATTTGCTCATACATATAACACTTAAAATTATATGATTATTAAATATAACATTATTACTCATTTTAAGGTAAAATATATATTATTTATGTATATATTTTGACACAGTTATAGTATTATAAATATAAAATTTTAGATGCTTAATATGTAAAAAATAAAAATTTGTGTTATGTATATATTTTTTTCTAAACAATCAAATGATTTAACGCAGCATACAATTTTTTTCTTTAGGAAAATGCAGCTCTCATATTTTCATATATATTCAAATTTAAAAACATTATGTCATTCCCTAATACTATTAGCTTAGCTGAAACTTTATCTAGATAATCTCAACCATTCAAATTTGTTTGTTTCAAAATATTTTGATTCTTTCAACTATGACTAAAGATATTTCAGGTAATTGTGATTTAAAATTTTAAATTAACCAATCTTAATATTTCAACTTATTATATTAGTTTCAATCTGATCATCATTAATATCAAAATGTGCGTGTGTGTGTAGTGCATGCACTGTGTTTCTACACACACACACACACACACACACACAATAAGATACACGCAAATACTAATTTAAGTTAGAAAACAATGCCTCGATCATTCAGAAGGACAATAAGCACTCCAAAGCACAGAAGGATGTTCAGGAAAATTTTCAGTCAAAGAAAAAGATATACATAACAAACAAATTTCATTGAGCTCGCATAGATTTATTTGTTAAACACACACCGTTTTCCATTTGACTAAAATAGCTCAATCAATACATGACTTTAATTCATTAGGCCTGTATACATATCATTAATTCATTAGGCATATGAGATTAGATGAAAATTATAATAAGTCCCGTGTAAGAAATGAAAAGAGGTTCATAATGCAACGAGAACACAATTAGGGCAGTAAATAAACCTACGCGCCTGATGAACAACTCAAACTTGGCTTGATTAATAATCAATCATGTTTATTCAAATTAGTAAATAGATAAGTTTGAACATTTTTTTTTAAAACGCAAAGGTTAAATGAACTAACTTTGAACATATTCCAACTCGTTTATTAATTTTCACAAACATGCTGGTTTATTGTTCAACAAATAACTTATAAGTATTCTATACTTATATGATAATTATCTAAATAAAATTTAACTAACTAGAACTTATTTAACTATATATAACATTAATATAATATAATTTAATATCACTATGGATATAAATTTAAAGTAATTTTTTTCTTTTTATTTCAATGAATTAATTTGTTAGTAGTTATGTTATTAATTTGCAAAAAATTTTACTTGCAAGTTATATTATTTGGTATAAATTAATTTGATGTTAAATTAAAATTTCCTCAATTTCTTACTTATTTAGATTTATGAAATAATTTTTTTAGTAACATTATATATAAAATCAAATACTCATTTGAATTTTTAACTTGTTCAATAGCTTTACATGAAAAATTAAGTACGCATTCAAATTTTTCACTTGTTTAATTAATATAAACAAACCAAATACAAAATAAGTATATGATCATTAAAAAATATAAGAAGTTAAATATGAATGTATATATAAAAGTTTAGCTCAAGCTCAAGCTCAAACTGAATAAGAACTTATGATTTAACCAAGCCAAATTCAACTCAAGAAATACTCGGCTCGATTACAGTTCTAAATACAGAAGAAGCAAAATGAATTACGGGGCGCAAGAACCGGGGATTGGTTGATTTTGGCGCGAGGAATGAAGCAGGTCAAAGAGTTTTCGTGGGACATTACATTCAAGTTTTTGTACGTTACCAAACACCACATCCCCGGCCCATAACTTGGTCTCCAACCAGGGCCCGTTCTCACCCACAACTATTTACTAACCAGTTGGAATAGTTTCCCAAATTGTACAGCTTCTTTCTCTACCTCTAGTTTCTAACAATTTGGTCAAAACCTAAAAAATCAAACCGAATCAAATAAGTTTGATTTTGTTAGATTTCAAAAATGCATTTTCATTTTTGGTTTCTTAAACCTAATTGGTTTTTGTTTAATGGTTTGGTTTTAATTTTCATTTAGCTGAATAAACCAAAAAACTGAAAATTTGAAATTAAATGGAGGATTCTTGAAATTAAAATGATATTATACATGTAATATGTAATTTGTGATGTTTATTCATAACAAAACTCCAACTAAGAACTAAATTTCAGTTTGTGCAATCGATTCGGTTATATCAAAATTTTGATTGATTTGATTTCATGGATTTTAGATTTCAGTTGCAATAGGTTTAATCAATTTAAAAACCAATCCATCCAAACCAACCAAAGCTCAACTCTATTAACTATTCACACAAACAGAATCCATATTCAAAATTATAAATGATCCTAGAATATCAAGCCCTCTGGTTGCCAGCTCAGCACTAAAAAATTTCCGATCGATGCTATGGTCTTCTCATTCCTTAAACATGAAAGCCAACAGAGAGACATCAAAGTAGAATGCCAGGTAGAAAGTAATGCATAACATTTCTGTGGTAACAATGAAAAAAATTGAACAAATAAAAGATAAGAAGATTTACATACAGAGCACTCAATTCCTATGTATTCACTTATCTAACACCTAACTTTAATTTTTACATATATACCATACCGCCTTAGGTTACGTGAAAAGGCTTATTTCACTTTTTAAAAGTTAAAATGGTGGTATTTTTTATGTGATATGAAATATTTGGGTGATGTAGATTTAAAAAACAAAATTTAGGTGTTAGATATTAAATTCATAGGAATTGAGCGGAACGTATATAAAAGATATTCATGCCTGTGATATAGCTGCAGAAATAAAATCATTCACTCGTTCCTGAACATTGTAATCAAACAAAAGTGGGTCATCCTGCAAGGAAAAAAGCGGATTAAATTAAAATTTTCACCCATTTCTATTTATAAGAAGGAATGGGGCACTAAGCACATTACCTGAATGACAGGGGAGTCGTCATTAACCTCAAAATAAAAACCCCCAGGAGGAGGCTCGTAGTTTACAGGAAAAATGCCAGTAAAAACCTGATGAACAATCATGTCAACAAAACTTTACTAAAAGATCATTAAGATGAATTGGAAACATAAATGACATAAATGATATCGCAATCTTACACCAAGCAACAGTTATGCTAATTGCAGATAGCAAAATAAATTTGGGGCATTTACATGCATACCACCCAAATCTATGTGTTTACATATCTAAAACCTAAACTTTACTTTTTAGTTTTATACCATCCAAATCTTTCATGTCACAACAAAATACCACTATTTTAGCTTTTAGAAAGTGAAATACACATTTTAACATGTAAAATTTGAAGTTTAGGTGCTACATATGTAAATACATAGGAATTAAGTGGTATCATGTAAATCTTCTAATAATTTAAATAAGATCACTTACGTCGGATGATGAGCCAAGAGACTTGGATCCCCTCCATACAACCTCAAGACTTTTCCGGACCTCTCGTTCATCCCTATCTTGATAATCAATTCGAGAAAAATATAGAGCATCAAATCCTACCTGCATTAAAGTTCAAATTTATTCCATAGTTGAAGTAATGAGTACATTACGTTGCCACAATCTGGCCTCCACGAAAAAATATGGCTGTCTTAAGGACTAGAAATGTAAATGGAGTCAAGAAGAATAAGCTATAATCATTGTAATAAAAATAAAAAATAAAAAGATAAGTCAGATTCAATTAACTTTAGAAATAAATGTTAAAAAAAAAGAAAAAAAAACCTGGAACTTTGATCATTATAGAAGGAAGAATCATGCAGAGTATATTTAGGACTGGAAGTAAAAAATCTCTCAACTAAAATAAAGCTATAAACTCATAAACATCTACTTATTTTTTGGTGTAATGATGGTTGGTATTTCATCAGAAACTCCAAAATTAAGCATGCTCTTATAGGAGCACTCTCGGGATGGGTGATGTAAGAACCGCACTTTTCCTCTCCTGTATGCATGCCGCGCGAATCGCAAAGATCAATCCACCGCCTTCCAGATTTAGAGCCTCGCACAAGATTTCATTTTCCTTTTTTATTCTACCCTGCTCATTGCCACCTTCTTGATTCATATTGATTTCCTTTACTTACCTTCCCGCAATGCTGCACTTCGATTTTTTGCCTTCCCGATTTGTTGTTGCACCAACTTCAGTACTCTATTTAAGGAAAAATATTGCATCCGAACTCCAATGAAATTTCGCCACATGTGAGTGGTGGACCCACTGTAAAAAAAATGAAAAGCTTAATGATTTAATGCATGACCCGGCCCGACCCGGCATTATTTGAGTGGTATTGCGGCGGTTTAGGTGCTATTACAAGTTAGGTTGTGTTATTGAGGTGATATTGTGGTGTTATTTGATTGGTATTGCGGCAGCTCTTTGGTGATATTCGACTGATGTTATTTCAGTGTAATTGTGGCATTATTGAGGTGTTATTGCAGTATTATTGAGGCGTTATAAAAAAATACCACATAATTTTGCAATATTAATTTCGCAAAAACACTTCAATAGTGTCACAATAATACTACAATAACACCATAATAACACATAAATATCTGAACATACGGTGTTATTATGGTATTATTGTGGTATTATTTTGGTGTTATTATGGTGTTATTATGGTGTTCTGCAATAACACCACAATAATATTGCAAATATATCATCATAACATTGAAATAACACTAATTGAATATCACCACAGAACTATCATAATATCACTCAAATAACACTTAAATAACATTTGAAAATCTGCTTTCATCAATTAATATTAGTTGATTTTTTATGTGATTTAGAGATTCAGGTGTTATATAAGTAAATATAAAGATTCAGATGCTCCATATGTAGACAAGTAAGAATTATGTAGTATTTATGTTATGTATAATTTCATTTTGGGCATTTACATACATACCACACAATTCATGTATTTACATATCTAGCACCTATACTTCAAATTTTACATTTGAATCACCAAAAATTTTTATATCACATAAAAAATACAACAACAACAACAACTAATCCTTAATCCTGCTAAGTGGGGTCGGCAATATGAATTCTTGTTCTCCATTGCATCCTATTCAGTGTAATATTTTCATTTAATTCTAATAAATTAAGATCATTTTAATTTCATCCATAGGGTCGATGGTGTGTATGAAAAAATTGATGTTTAGGTGTTAAATATGTAAATACATGAGAATTGAAAGGTATGTATGTAAATATTCCTTTCATTTTTTAATAACTAACATAGCCCAACTTGCAATAACACAAACTGTCGCAATAACACTCAAATAATGCAAGGTAAAGCTGGGTCATGCATTAAAATCTAGAGCTTTTTATTTTTTATTCAATGGGTCAGCCGCTTACACATGGTGAAATTTCATTGGAGTCTGGACACATAACTGCATCTGAACTCCTAATGTAATATTTTTTTCCTATTTAAGAGCACACGAGGGTCAGAGCATCCCACCTTCTCGCACACCAATCGTCGATCCCCTATTTCTTCCTCTCTCTCTCCTCGTTCTCACTGACTTAGCCGAAAGCAGCAGAAAATGTGTGTGTGTGTGTGTGTGTATATGGCGTCGACAGCGGGCTCTGCTAGGATTTTGCCTGATGGCGATTCCCGACGTTGAAACTGTCGGCTTCACTCCTTTTCTCTGTTGCCTCCCACGACGACGATTTCACGTACGTTCACAAGTCTTCTCTCTCAGTTGACGATGCTCGCTCGCAAATCGTCTCTCCAGGCCGACGACGTTTGCTGCCTGTCTTACCCGAAGACAACGACAGTGCCTTCCTGTTCGCACGTAGTTTCCTAACTGACGACTCACCTGTCTGCTCACATTCCCTGCCCGACAAATTGTTCGTCTCGCAGTCTCTGCTAGTATCGCCTCGCAAATTGACGCGGCTCCCCAAGTCGCTCCAGAATCTGACCCTGGTCATCTTGCATGTGGAGATGGTCTTGAAGCTCCGCTCTTATGCCACTGCCTTTGCCGGCGACTTTCCTAATCCTACTCGTACCCTACTTTCAGGTTCAGTGCCTGGTTTTGGTAAGTAAGTTCTGCAATGTTCCACAATCCTTCCATGAGGCTCTTGAAGGTGGTGGTGATCACACTTTCATTAAAAAGCTTGGTAAAAAAATGGGAAACCTGCTCTTTTTTCTCTCTGAGGTTGAAATCAGTACACTTTGCGTCTTCTTGGCGTTTTTGCTCTAGTGAAGAAATTCTTTTATGGTCACCCAAAACTTGAGATAATTCGTAAAGACTTTGATGCTATGAATCTATTAGGTAGTTGAAGTATTGGCTTACTTGATGACCAACATATACTTGTTCAGTTATCTCACGATGCGGATTACACTCGTATTTTTTGCTCGTAAGGTAATCAAGATTGACAACCGTTTTATGAAAAACTTGAAGCAAACTGTCAATTTTGATCCAAAAGCAGGATCCCCTATCATTTCTGTTTGGATAAAGTTTCTGGGATTAAAACTACCTCTGTTTAACTTGAGAATTCTCTACTCCTTGGCAACTGCTTACAGTAAGTCTCTCAAAGTTGATATTCTTACACTTGCTATCATCATACCATATGTGACTTATGTGTTAGTTGAGAGAGATATCACCCAACCAGCTCCGAATGATGTATGAATTAAAACCACTCACAACGGGTATTGGCAAAATGTTGAAATAGAACCACACCCTTTTTATTGCCCTTGTTGTAATATATTTGGCCACATTTATACTATTTGTTATCGTTTGTATCCTCATCTAAGGTCGAATATTGCTAAAGATCAACAACCTATTCAAATATCTATTTATATTGAATTGGGGGTGGACGTCTTGTCACCTACCATCCCTGTTGAGAAGGCGAAACTCGACCATCTTTCCAATACCGCATATACCTCTGCTCATCTAACTGACACTGTTTCTGATGAAGAACATCATACCCAAGCCGTTCTAGTCCTTAATGCTCCTGCTTTTGAACACTTCGTTCCAGTTGCTGGTTTGAAGCATGGTACGTTAGAGTCCAATGAAACATTTCCCCATACTACAAGTACTGATCCAAAAGTGTCTTTACCGCTCATTATTATTGAAGAAGACTCACTTACATGTCAGGACACACAAGAGTGCTCATTTGATCTAATAAAAGATTAGCTGGTACAACAAGCAGTTGCTTCCAATGTTTAACAACCTACACATATTCGGCACACTTAGACCAATCCACCGATCAAGTGAGTCAACCTTCAAATGAGGAATGACAGGACTATTCCAGGAGGAAGAAAAAGAATGAAGGCCAACTCGAGCTCATGAACTTATTGGACGATACATTGGTTACTACTGGCAATGACACTCAACTTAGTTGACTCCTTTCCTAGAACTAGAGGCAGAGACAGGGCAAAATTGAGACGTTCTCTAGCTACCTGATACTACGTATTTTGACACTTTTAGTTTTTTGGGGTTCTCATGAATTTTCTCTATTTTTTTTTGGAACATTTTGCATGTGGTGTTTAGCGTGTGGATAGGGTGCATACTTGGACCCTCTCATAAATATATATATATATATATATATAACTTTATTATTTAATATTAAACTTGAAGATTAGGGCCTTATTTCTGAAAGTACTTTTTTTTGTACAAATTAATTTTATATTAATTTTGATCACAATAATTACACTTAAAGTTTAAAGTATGAAAATCTTAATTAAATAGTGTGATACAACAATAATTCGTAATTAAATTAAATTATAATTAAGTAAAGTGATAATGGAATATTTTATAGTTTATAAGTGATAATTTGGTAGAAGTAATACAATTTAAAAGTAAACAGATCGTCTATTATCAAGGTGAGTGCCCGTATGTCTAATCTATAAAAATAATTTCTTTCTTCTCAAATATTTTATACTTAATGACGTCTGCACATGTTTTATTTTGATTAAGACGTTTTCTTTCTCGGTCATATTGCCATGAATGTTTTAGCTATTTACTCTTATGCATTTGGTGCATGTTTTATATAGAATTTTGAATTGAATGTGACATATACATGAATGAGATGACTATGTTGATTATTTTTATGTGAATGGCTGACTATAATGGAGTCGCACATTGATGGTACTAGTGGAGGAACATTAAAGTGCATGTGTACATATATGAAAAAGGTTTTTGATATTAATATGTCGTAAATGACACAATTTTTAGACAGTGCTCATATAAAAATTATGGATATAAAATGATATTGATATAAAGTTCTTGAATAGTAATAAATATTTTATTTATTTATTAAAAGCTTAATTGGCATGCATATCATTTTTCTCTTGTAATACTATGATTTTTAAGTATGATTATTTACTAGTTTGTTTAACTCATTATTATTTTAAATTAGTTTTTCAAGTTAATTAACTGATTAAAAGATGAGCGATAAAAGAGATAACTTGTATATAAGACGTGGATGGCAATTATTGAGATAAATGTAATTTTACTATTTTAATTTAATTAAATTAGTAGTTAATTCATCAATTAAATACTAAAAGAAT